ATATATAACTTTTTTTTATAATAAGTATATTGAAATATTATTTTCACAGCAAAAAAAAGAACTTTGTATTGTAGATTTAAGCTAGGAAAATACAAAAAAAATGTAAAATATTTTTAAAGAATTTTGTACGACAATCATAGATTTATAGACGAAAAACGTTTTATTATTATTATTATTATTATTATTATTATTTTGTGATATGAATATCTAAATACCTATTTTCATACCAAAACAAAGTTTTAAATAAAGTATAAATGCATAGGGTTTTCACCCAAAAAATTATATAAATTTGAGAAAAAAACATATCTAGTACAACTCATGGTCATTTTGTAAGTCTATTTACTTTATTTATTTTGTAGCTCACTTAACGATTAACGATTTCTCATATCTGTAAAATTTATAATAACTTTGAAAATTTTCTATTTTTGTTTAAACTTAAAAATTGATAAATAAAATTAAACCGATTAACATAATTGTTTTGACCTGAAGATATATCATCATGATTCATGCCCTGTTTGAAAATGTGCATTAAAGGTTAGCACTTAATTAAAAGATCAATCACCTAAACAAGACGACCAATGGGCTTCTAGCCCAACGGTACCGGAGTTGCCTTTCCTCCTAGAGGTTGAGGGTTCAAGTCTCATTGGAGACATAGGTGGTATTAAGAGTAGTTTAGGAGTAGTGTAGATTTGCTGTTCTAAAAAAAACCTAAACATGACGATCTATCATCTATTGGTAGGCAATTTGTCCCTTTTGTTTTAGGTAGTGTGGGTTCCAATTATTTTGTATAGACAAATTTTATATAAACATATTTCATTTCATTGAATATTCATAATCTATTGCAAATAGTTAAAAAGAATCATCCTTGATTAAAAAAAAAAGAACTAGATTCCATGAAATCTTAAAATATAATTTAATAAAGAATAATTCAACTTATATATATTGGAAATCATTTTTAATAATTGAACATTTGGAAATTTTAAAATGATGAAAATTTATTGTAGAATAAATCACAACATTAAGATATCATAAATTATAGATATCATTTCATTCATTAAAGGAGATGAAAATTGACTTGAATCACATTCTGTAAGTAATGCTAATTTTGTTCCTTGGTAGCAAACAAATAGAAATTGTTTTTTTTAATCATCCATTATTCTTCCTTCTTCTATTAATGCATACCAAACACTTTATTGTAGAATATAAGAATAAAAATAACTTATCGTTATAAGGGAGGAGGGAATCGTTCCCTCCCAACCCACCGAACCCAATGAACCCACTGCCACATCAGCTTTTCTCTTTGATTTTTCTTCATCTTTCCCAACCCACAACATACGGAAATCCTATCTTTCTCAACCCACTCAACTCATTCAATTAAAAAAAATACTAAACAACTAAGGTACAAATTTTAAAACACACAGTACAAGAGAAAATGAGAGAAAGAAAGTAGAGAGAGAGGATGAAGTGGGTTCGTGAAACCAATTAAACAACCGGCTAAAGAGTGAGTGGTACCGGCGATAACTCTATTGCTAATTAAGATTTTACCTTGATTATTTTGTATTTTTTTTTTAATTGAGTGGGTTGAGAAAGATAAGATTTCCGTGTGTTATGGGGTGGGAAAGATGAAGAAAAATCAAAGAGAAAAACTGATATGGCAGTGGGTTTATTGGGTTCGGAGGGAACGACTCCCTCCTCCCTAAGATATATCATTTTCATTCATTGAAGGAGATGAAAATTGATTCAAGAATAGGAATCGCATTTTATAAGTAACGCTCCATTTTGTTCCCTCGTAGCAAGCAAATAGAAATTGTTTTTATTTTTTATTTTTTTCAATCATCCATTATGCTTCATTGGCACCATTTCATTCCTTATTCTATTAATGCATACTAAAAACCTCCTTAGTGATATTATAAAAAATATTTCACAAATTAAAATGTTTTCATGCAAATAACTGTGTATTAGTTTTACTAATATCTACATAATATCATTTATCTTAGGTACTATATTCCCATTACCTTCACATTTTTGAATTAATAAAATGAAAATATCAATGTCATTTGCATATCTACTTAGAAATACTCAAGGGTCCGAGCATCTAACAAGTCAGTTTCAATGTGGATTGAACTCTTTGTAGACACTGATTTTTATATAGTTTCAATATAGATTGAGCTCTTCATGATTTTTATATAGTTTCAATATAGATTGAGCTCTTCATAGACACTGATTTTTATGTTAATGTTAGTTTCATTGTGGATTGAACTATGGTTTTTATGTAAACTTTATATCACTATTTATGGGCCCACAAGAATAACCTTTTTGCACAAACATATCCACTTATGGAAAGAAGGTTACATATAATCCATTTTAAAAACTTTGATTTTATAAGTCGACAAATTGTTACATTTTCAACCACTTTGGCTTAACCATCTTTTTATCGGCAGCCGGCTTCCGCTCTTGAACCGATGGAGGGGCGGCAGCCACCACAGGCACGGTGGTCAATTGGTCAACCGTAGGTTTCTCCGGTTCGGCTACAAGTTCAAGACCTTTTAAAGCCATCACTTCCTCTTTAAGGAATGTCACGTCAGCATCACCATCACCTGCACCCATAAAACATTAGACAATGAAAATTTTCCATTGGAATTTACAAATATAACCTTTTCTATCTGTTAGTTTTTTTATAAACTAGTTGTAAGAACCATGTATTATATGGGTTTATTAAAAAAAAATAAACAAACATGAAGATCTAACAATTTAGAAAATTTAAATTTTTAAGAAAAAAGTAAATTACTTAATTATTAAAATTGAAGTGCTTATTTATCTTTTAAATTTAAATGAATAATTTAAATAAATAAACAAGTAAAATAATTGGATTCAATTTAGAAATTAAAAGGAAAGTGGCATTTATGAATTGGATATACATTTATTACATTTAAGTATTATATTGAATTTAATAAAATGGAATAAAAAAACCACAAAATGACACATAAATATAATTTAATTTAAATTTAAATTTACCACAAACTGACATGTAGCATAATGCATAAGAGGATGACAAGTGGCAAAATTATTTTCATTTATTATGGAGGATTCAACTGATCAACTCACATCATTTTATTAAGATAACCTCATAAATTATATTATTAAAGAATTAAAGAATTATAACCAAAATAAATTAAGAATTACCCTTTTAATTTATTTGCTTTTTACACATTCGATTTCTTTTTATTAGACTAACTTTATAAAATTATATTATTAGAGAAGCATAACCATTGTAAATTATTTGTATAAAATAAATTTCAAATTTATTATCGTATTATGTCAATTATGTATTTTATTAAAATATATAGTGTTTTAAATTATTATTTTTAAAAAATTTGAAACATAAAAACTAATTTAATATGTATCATAGTTAATATCAAATTAATTTCTCATATATTCTTACACATAACAAATATTAAATACATAATATGATCATAGAACAAAAAACTAAAAAATGCATAAAATTTAAAATTGAAGGACCAAATTATTCAAACAAAACTTTAAAACCATATTTGGTGTTTTATTATACCATGGATGCAATTATTAAAAAAAAAATAATACCTTTTGGTTGATCATATGAAAAATAGACAATTGCACCAGGGGCAAATCCAGCAGAGTAAAAATCTTGAGACATGTCTTTTATTAGCTTCTTTGGAGGAGTAGTAACTACTTAAAAAAAATGATATTAGTATATAATAAATATCACCCCATTTAACATGATTATAAACTTATAGAAAAAAATAGGAATTTAAAAATATGCTCACATATATGGAAAGGTAAATCGGGTCTAGCCACAACTTTTATAAGAAGATCAACTAAATTTTGCATTGTCTCTGATGGATGAAATGTGGCTTCTAATGTATGGTTGTCCGGGAACCTCACACGAATTACCGCCTATAAGAAAACAAGAAATAGCAGTTAGACAGGACAAAACAGGTTGTACTGTGTACTGTGTATTTGTCTGTTTGTCATGCACTTGACAAACACCGGACTGAGACAGATGTGAATGGGACAAGAATTGCAACTTTTTGTCACGTCTAAAAAGGTGGGATAGGGACTCGTCAGTTGTAAGTCATCTCAATCTCTCATTTGTGCAAAAAGACGAGAATGCCCTTCTTATTATCGTCATTGAAAATAGCTCTGGAAAGATTGAACGGTATAGTACCTTGGTAATTCTTGATCTACGAGTGGCTTCTTCTGCTTCACGGAGTTTTTTTGTCTTCATAACTTTATCTATCCACAAAAAGGAAAAGAAAATGATTTGTTTAATTTGGGATGAATAAAAATACACTTTGGTTTTTAATAAAATTACCATATAAATAATTAAATATAAATATTCTCACCTTCCTTTTTTGTAGCCAAGATGCGATAATAATCTTCCGCAGTGAAATCAAAAAACTCATCCGGCTCCTCTGCGATATTACAAAAGTCATTAAACCTTAATGCAAGATTTCTAGGGATATTTTTTATGATGAAGATATAAGGACATTTACGTCTTTTGTCATGTCTTATCATGTGGGTGCATACCTTCGTTAATTGGCTCATTTGATGTGTGAGAGGAAGTTGTTGTCTCAAATACACGAATATCTCTTCCATAATTTTGCTTTGCTGCAGCAAGCTTTTCCTGATTTATGTCATTACAAGGGATTAAGTGTTTGAAATATTGTACATTCAGTGTATCAACAGCTAAAATCTTTAAGCCAATGTTTTTCTTTAGTGATATAACATGTAAAGAACTTAATTGCAAAAGAACAAGGTTGAGCCTAGCATTATAGTAATCAACATGATCGAAAATGAGAACAGTCCTCAATTTCTCATCCTCGATCGATTCCAAACCCCCATAAATTGATCCAGTATCAGTTAACTAAAAAACAGTTAATTGTCTCGATAAAGTTCTAGAGATTCAGTTAGCGTTATGAATGATCAACAACCAATTCGAGCAATTGGATCAAGAGGGAAACACTTCCATAGAGATTGACATTGATCTATTAATAAGAATGTACTGTACAAACGGAAGAAACCCTAATTAAATATACTTCGTAGCAATTAAGAAACCATGAGTGAAGGACAAACCGTGGCAAATTGAGATTCCATTTGATCGATAGTGGTGAGTCTTCTTAGCTTCACAGTGCTTGTAGAATCAGCTCTCATCGGCGAATCAATCGATTCAAAAGCCCTTTTATTGATTTCGCGTTGCGTGTTTCTTGCGCAAGACGATTCTTTTGTCTCCATTGTTGATTCTTGTTCGGGTTTTGCGGTTTGCAATTGGGCTGCGTCTATAATCCAATAGCTCTCTAATTTCCAACGATACCGGCCCAATCTTTGGTTGGTGTTTCCGTGTTTGGTTTGTTGGGTATGGGAGGTGGTGGTACATATAAAGGTATTAAATCGTTTTTTTTATTTATTATTATTATTATATATTTTTTAAGTTATTATTATTATTATTATTATTATGGTATTTTTGTAAGTGAAATCCTTTAAACAATTAAACCTATTTAAAAAAGGGGTTTGGTTTTAACCTAACCGGTTTGCAGAAAAACCAATTAGGTTTTTTTCCATTGGTTCTCAAAAGACTAATTCACTTTGTCCACCTCTAGTCAGCATATAAGATTGATTGATGAAATAAACAAATATTACTTTGAAAAATGTTGTTTGGAATCACTTAGAGAAAAGAAAATTAGAATAACTGTATTAATTTATTTAAGATTTAATAAAAAATTAGATCAAAATAGTTCTGATTTTCACAGACAACATCTACAAAAATCATCCATCTATAAAAATTACGAAAACGACATTGTATTGATGATTTTCATGGATGATATCTGTGAAAAAACTAGCATATTTTCTTTTAACTGTAAAATTTGGTATAACATGTTTTGAGTATTTCAATTATTTCTATGAGTCGAAACAAGTATGATAATTGATAAACTTATTTTATTTTATTTTATTTTTATGATTGATTGATTTTTAAATTTCATCTGATCATCGTAGTTATATTCCATATTCTTGATAGCAAACAACGACTTTTAATGTCATGGGGTTATTTATAGAAAGTTTCATCGCGGTCATATACGTCTATTACGATGGTTAGTCTAATCAGTTCATAAAGTCTATAATTAATGTTGTAGTTGTTTAGAGTTTTATATTGGTTTGTTAGAGTCATTCAAGTAATTAGTGAGCTCATATCATTAACCAATGGCTTGGACGGAGGTGCGACGACGACATAATTCCTTTATGTCCTGAGGTTTCAAGAACGTAGATTGGAGAAACAGTTTTCCTTCCATCACTTCTTTCTATGTCTCCAACCTTCCTGGAGATGCATCGAAGGCAGAGATTTGAAATGTAACATCCCGACTTCCATGTATAACAGTTATCCTTTGTATGATTTTCCAGTCGAACTCCGCGAGTTGGGTAGCCTCAAATCGGCGTGTTGAAGAATGTTTTGGTAGCGGGATTTAATGAAGTAACTCGGCGAGTTGACAACTGGGAAGGAAACCCTAATTTTTAGGGTGTTGCACCCTATTTAAAGGCCTTAAGTCCCTTGGTTGGCCTCCTTACCAGCCTCCTCTGTCCAGAAACCCTAAATTCGAGTATCATCTTCCATAGTTGAGTGTGTGAGCTTGTGGAGAGCTTTGAGTGTTGATTTTTGGTACTCTTTTGAAAGAGCCTTGAAGTGAAGGTGTCTAGCTTGGTAGAAAGGCTTTAGATCCAGAACTTCCCCACTTATTGCAGTCTCTTTGAGGTATAAAGTTTGTACCTTGCTTCTTCATTGATTAGATCTCTTCTTTTGGGGTTTTATCTTGATTATTAGATTCTTTGATGGATTGTCCAAGGATTTGAGTGTTTCATGGGTTGTCATTTTAGATCTGGCCATTTTGTGGCCTCATTTGGCTTAATGTTGCAAGCTTTATGAGGATTTTGGTGTCATGCATGCATTAAGTCAATTCTTAAGTCCATTTTAAGCTTAAGAGCTTCATTTAGACATGCATGAACGTAAAGTTGGCAACTTTACGTGGTTTTCCAGCTCAAGGAAGTCAGATCTAGGTTTTGGAGTCATGTCCTTATAGATTAAGTGCTTATTGTATCAAGTTGTTGGGTTTTGAGCGGACTCGGCGAGTTGGATCGGTTTTTCCCGACTTTGCAATTAAATGGAAAAACACGGTGAGTTCAAGGAATAACTCGGCGAGTTGGATCAACTCGATCCGTTGACCTTGACTTTTTGACTTTTGTCTTTGACCAAGTTGTCCTAAGGGGGTACTTGAGGTAACCTGAATTGTAACAAAGGAAATTATAGGCTTAGGATAAGACTCATATGAGGTTGGGCCCAATTTGAAAATTTGGGCCACTAGTGGGCCTTTGTGGATCTTTTGGTTTTGGACCTTTTGGTTAATGGAATTGGGCCTCAGTTTTGGTTCATGTTGGGTCAGGGGTAAAATGGTCATTTTACCCCAAGTATGGATAGTGGGCCTTAGAATGAAACCCAATTGCTAATTGGGTGTTACTTTCATCTGATAGATCAGAGGTGTCGTCGGGGCAACAGCTAAGGATTCTTGCAGTGAACTTCAGTATTCGAGGTGAGTTTTCCTCAATATACTTTCGAGTCGAAGGCACCAAGGTCGGCCCTTTGGTTTGATAACTTGATATTGTTGATGCAACGCCCGTAGATCCGGGCTAGTCAATTTAGAGACGATAAGCATCAAAAGTGACTTTTTGATAAAAGATT